ATCATCGTCGTCATGGTAACATTACCTGGTCACCTCCTACAGCTTCWGGTCGGTCCATCATGTAAACATTTGAGTGACTTTCCAAAAACTAGCAAAATATAAGGTATATTCTGTAATCAATAATGAAAACTCTCCCCCTCTYATTTCTTAATTACTCGGCCTAACCTATAAAACCGAGACTACCATGAGTTTTTCTTCCTGTTTCGAGTTCTCTGTTGCTCAGGTTTATTTTCCATTTTGTGTACACAACATTCTTTCCAGTTAAGGTCCGTGGTATTTTAAGGTGTTTGTGTTGTTGCAGTTGTACATTCTTCACTTTACCGTTGGTATTTGTGAATATTTAGACACTGATTCTAGACTAACCCTGAGTAACTGAGTCTGTAATCAAGGAACACAGATGTATTGTACGTATTTGAAAATGTTCTGTTTCTTGTAACGACACAAAGATTACCAAAGACCACCTCACCTGAATTCGATTCCTCAACTCCTCGTTCTCATGTCTCGYGTGTGCCAAACTTTGACTTAAGCTCTTCACTCTTGATGACAACCCAAAACAGGTTTCCACCAGAACTAAATACCKGCCACAACCGGTTTGGCCGGCTTTGAAAGCATAGTCAGTAGGACTAAGACCCTCTTTGTCTCTTAAGGTGACGTCGTTACTGTAATCGACGAGAGTCTGTAGGCATTCCATGTGACCCTCGCGTGCTGCCAAGTGCGCAGGCGTGATGCCATTGCTGTCCGAGATATCTGAATTTGATAATRTATTAATAATTATTATAGTGAAATATATCACTAATTCTGATTGGTGGACTAAATGTACATCCTTAGCTTCCCATTTCAGACCACGTGTCATTCCCTTGAGTATTATTTTATCTTTACTAGAAATGCTTTACAGCTATGGTGCAATGTTTTCCCATTTCATACCATGTGTCATTCCCTTGAGTATTATTTTTTTCTTATTAGGAATTCTTTTCAGCTATGGTGCAATGTTTTCCCATTTCAGACCATGTGTCATTCCCTTGATTATTATTTTTTCCTTTACTATGAATGCTTTTCAGCTATGGTGCAATGTTTTCCCATTTCAGACCATGTGTCATTCCCTTGAGAATAAGATTCGTTTAAGCTGTATCTATATTCATGTGTTTTCTCATGCGCAATCGTTAAACAAAAAATGCTACTCTAGGGAATGACGTGTGGTTTGTAATGACAAAACATTGTACGTCGACAAATTTCCCCTATTCCCTAACCCTGAAAAAATGTTTAGTTTCTCCTGAATTTTCCAGATCAGTGGGGACCCTGTGTAGCGTGGGCCGTGAATAAGCCTTTTCAAAGTTTAAGAATCGATTCCACTGCGCATGCGATTTTATCCCGAATTTCTACCTTCTTTTGTCTAAACCTTCTTTTGTTCTTAATTAAACAAAAGAAGGTGAGAAATTCGGGATAAAATCGCATGCGCAGTGGAATCGATTCTTAAACTATGAAAAGGCTTATTAGTCCTCGCCAAAGAGACTGTAGTACCTGCAATATCACGTGTTTTGCTGAGGTATGACAGGAGAAACTTCAGACACTCCTCTTGTCCTTCTTTAGCCGCGTAATGGACCAATGTAAACGTTTTCTTTTCAAGTTCTCTCGAGGCTTCAGTGTGTTCAACCAGCCACTCGAGACATTCGCACTGACCAAGCTACAAACGACAAGACAAAAATACCTGAATGTCAAAAAGGCGCGAAAACGCAACGGATACCAGCCGTGATCACGATGGTAATGGAAAAGAAAAAATCAAGCAGCGCATGCGTGGTTGATTCTACCGCTGGAACAGGGAATCGGTGCCGCCTCTCTTAGTTGTCATTATGGGTTAAATTCCCGAACCAATAAATGTGAGTAGAATTGCTTGATGTTTTCTCCCTGGCTTGGAGGGTTATTCGATTTTTTTCTTTCCGTTAAATTCAACTTTCTAGATTACAATAAACCTTGCCCGAATTCGCTTCAGTGACCAGGAATTAATGGTTTCAAGTTGAGGATAGACTTGATGTGTTCATACATTTACTGTATTTTATCAATCTCAGCCTCTATTTGCAGCAATAGACCTTTCCTGAATTCACTTCAGTGACTAGGAAACAATGGTTCCAAGTTGAGGATAGACTTGATGTGTTTATATATTTACTGTATTTTATCAAGCTCAGCCTCTACTTGCAGCAAAAGTACTTGATGTGTTCACATATTTACTGTATTTTATCAAGTTCATCCTCGACTTTTTGTGGTCACTTTCGAGATGATCTTTGAGCCTTCACAGATTTGCAGCCCAGCTTTGTTGCGATTGTTAAAACAACCACTTTTCTTGACAAAGGTGTAGTAAATGAAAACTTTGAAAGTAAAGATGACGATGATAACAAATAACGACAAAAAATACATTAACCACATGGTCTAAGAAGCAGCAAGTGTAACAGTATTTTAAGAAATGAAATGACACTCTTAACAAACATATTTCGACGTTATCTTCAATATGAATTAACAAGCRAGAGTGTGGTTGATGAGCCATACCTGTGTTGCTATGGCAGCAGGGGTCACSTCGTCATGGTTACCAATGGTAACAGCTTCTTGAGGAGCTCTCTTTACCAACCAWTTTAGACATTGTAGTTTACCGTTCTCTGCGGCTTTGTGAAGTGGTGTGTTCCCTGCTGAGTCTCGTGCTGTGATCAGGGAATCTTTGGTGGCGCCAAGGTGGGAAACTGCATCTTGCTTTGTGGACAGAGAGGAAGTGTGTCATTATCATGGTTATGATTACCATGGTAAGTCAAAGTTATCTTTATCACCTTTATCGTCACCCAACGACATAGTTATCACCATCATTATTATCATCAACACCACCGCATCAACATCAATCATCATCGACACKATTACGTATCATCACTCTCATCATTATCAAACGAATCATCATCACCATCGCTGATTTTGACCACCATCATCATCACCAACAACTTCATTATTATCATCATCTTCAATAATTTAATATTATCTAATAATATCACTTACAACAGTGATCAGATCTCCAGCCTCGGCAGCTTGTAGCAAAACTTGTTTCCAATCCTGCGTCTCCCCACTCCTCCCTAGACGGTCCCAGTTTTGTACTCTCGAGATGGACTTCTGGAAATTCGTGAGGCTATCATTCGAGTTTAACACGCTGAGACCATTTTTATTTTGATCTTGTACGCCTTTCCATGTGGGACCTGTTTTAGACGTTCGTGATACCGSAGGCGAACTGCCCATGCGCAGTCGGTCTAAGTCACTGAAATCTGAGTTCAAGTTCAGAATTGAGGTTGTGCTGGCAATTGAATTGAAGTCGTCAAAGTCATACTCTTCAGCCTCGCTACCACGTACCTGTTGGCATGACAACAGA